CTCCCCTCCCCCTTATGTCTGGGCTCTGAGAGAAATGCTTGTGAGGTTGGGGTGAAGGGAGGAGGGGTTGTTCTAGGCAGAGACAGTAGATGAATCATGCGCTGGCCTGCTCTGGTTATTGGCTAAAATGAGGAGTTTTCCGAGTCCGTGGAATCTTTTTGTTTGAGCTGGAAGGGAATATGGTTCATGGGATCCAACTACCTCATTTTATAGGCAGAGCAACTGCAAGCCAGCAGAGAAAGTTGCCCAGGAGTTAGGGACAAGCTGCTCTCCTGGCTTTCCCAGGCCCTTGACTGTGGACAGAAGGAGGGGATTCTGGAGGAAGGTGATAGAGTGGGCCTGTGCTGGTGTCAGCAATACCTCAGAGGTGACTTCTCTAAGCAAGAAAGCTCTAGAGTGAGTGTGATGGTGTAGTGACCAGGCCGGTGTCACCCTAGTTGTGGCCACTGGGAGCTGGTCTGGAGGGTGGCATTCAGGTGCCATTTAGGTGAGATCTATTTGAGGGGGCAGTAGTCTTGGGGAGCTCTAGGGAAGATGGCTCCTGGCACTGGGGACAGCAGGCACAAAGATCCTGAGGCAAGCCCAGTGTAACAAGCAATGAGAGAGAGAGAAAGAGAGAGAGAGAGAGAAGGCTTCATGAAAGGCTGAAGTGCATGAGTCCTGATTCCTTCCTTGCAATGTGATAGGGTATCGTCCTGTGGAGGAATGAGCATTTAGTAAGCAACTGTGGTGTACTCTGGTGCTGGGCACATTCCGTGAGCCCTCACAGCGCTACAACCACTCCTGTAGCATCATCCAGACGAGCTGAGTACGTGCAGCCATGGTAGCTCTCACACAGCATAGGCTCTCCCTAGGCACCCTCAGCTTAGCTAGCTGGACCACAGAAAGATAGCCACACTGGCACACTGGCCTCCACTAGGCTCGCCTGAAGACTGGGGAAATGTGGGAGGAGGCTGAGAGCCCGAGGCTGGAAGCTGAGCTGGGCTGTCTGGAGCCTTTGGGGCTGAAGTGGATGAACACTGCCCTGATGGGGAATGCTCTCCGGGGACCCTGCCATTGTGGGAAAGGCAGCAGGATCCTAGAGCTGAAGGGCTAGCGGGGCAGTGCGAGCTGGTCTCAGCAAGCCCTCTGCCCCTGGACAGCAAGCATGGAGGATGCTTGGGATTCCAGTGGCTGAGCCATCAGCGTCTTATTGCCTCTGAGTGCAAACTAGAACTCTCCCAGGGGAAAGGAGGAAGCCAGCAGTGTGGAGGGTGTAGGAGCTGTTGGAGACATAGGTCCTGATGCAGGACAGCATGGAGGGATATCAGGCCTAGGGCACCCTGCCTCGGGCAGGAGGGGACTGAGGCCTTGGTGGAGCTATGCCATGCCTATCTCTCCTCTCTGTCCAGTTATGCATTCTTACTCCATGTCCACAGAGGGGGACAGTGGCGGATGAGCCCAGGAGTAGTGGTAAGCGAACACGCAGCTTGTGGCATTCATCGAAGAGTCAGCTTTCTGGGGAGAATGGGTCTGTGATGATGGTGGTGATGATGGTGATGATGGGGATGAATATGGGAATGGAATGGATAGTTTTTTTGGGGGGTGGGCAACTTGACACAAGCTACAGTTATCTGAGAAGGGGGATCCACAATTGAGAAAATGCCTCCATAAGATTGGGCTGTACGATGTAGTCCCGGCACTCAGGAGGCAGAGGGATCTCTTGTGGGTTTGAGGCCAGCCTGATCTACATTTCAAGTTCCATGATAGCCAGGGCTACATGGTGATACCCTGTCTCAAAAATAAATAAAATAAAATAAAATAAAGGAGCAGTGTGCAGGCAAGCCTGTGGGGCATTTCCTTAATTGGTGATTGGCATGGAAAGGTCCAGCCCATTATGGGTAGTGTCAACCCTGAGCTGGTGGTCCTGGATATTAAAGAAAAGCAGGCCGAGAAAATCCAGAGGAGCAAGCCAGTAAGCAGCACCCTCCATGGTCTCTGTTCGAGTTCCTGCCTCCAGGTTCCTGTCCTGCTTGAGTTCCTGCTCTGACTTCCCCAGTGATGGAGTGCGACCTGGAAGTGTAAGCTCAAATACAAGTTGCTTCCCAAGTTGCTTTTGGTCACCGTGTTTATCACACGACCCTAACTAAGACAGCGGTGATGGTGATGGTGGTAGTTGTATTAGCGTTTGGCCTGTCATAACAAAGAACCAGACTATGTACTTTCATAACAGAATTTTATTTTCTCGTAGTCCTAGAGGTGGCGGAGCCCAGGGTTCAGGTTCCGGCTGGTTCAGTTGCTGACTCTTCCCTGGAGCATAGAGTGCCACAGCGTCCTCACCTGCCTTTCTGGTAAGCCCTGCTGCATTAGGCTCACATTTGTATGGCTCTTAACCGTAACTGCTGCACCAAGGCTGTCTGCAGAGACAGTTGCTTTGGAGGTCAGGGTACGCAGGAGGCACTGGATGTGGGGAAACAAATTCACAGTCCCTCAGTGAGGATGCCAGCCATAGTGGCATTGATGGTGCTGGCGATGCTGGTACTGTGACGTGCTGACGGTACTTAATACCGGTGCCTGCCAGATGCCTGGTGCTATGGAATCTTCTGTTTTGTGTGGAAATTCACCGTCACAATTTTATCTTAGGAGTTGATATTGCCCCAGTCTCCCAGTGAGGGACGGGGGCATATGCCTACGTGTCTGTCGTTGACAGATCATGACATAGTTAGGCTCAGAACCCAGGCGTTGGGATTTTCTTCTGAAGCTGTTAAAGTCCCATGTCACACTCACAGGCTGTGGGGCAGCAGACTGTAGCGTGTGCTTGGGCAGAGTGTGGTCCAGCCCATTTTCCTCACTTGAGCTTCCTGTGACCCCTCTGTCGGAGGCCACGGGGCAGCATGGGAGGGTCCAGAAACCTCTCTGCATCAGCAGCTCCAGGGCAGTAAGGGTGTTTCTCCCCTTGGAGACTCTCAGGAGTTAGGTTTCCATGAAGTGAGGCCAGGGGTGGAGGTGACTAGAAGACTTTCCAAAGACAGCTGGGTGGGGGTGGGGGTGGGGGTGGGGGTGGGGGTGGGGTGGTATTCAGGTCAGTGGCAGGGCAACTGGGGTGGAGCAAACTTGGCCATCAAGCTCCGAGTGACAGAAGTTACCGGTGTGTTGCGGCGTGGCTGTCACCAGGAGGAGGATCTGCGTGCTGTGCAGTAATGCACTGAATCACCGTGTAGTGCTGGGACACTGTGCAGCACTGTGGAGTACCATGTAGCTCCAGGCCAGCACTACCCAAGGCTGGAAACTTTGAGACCACACTCTCCTGAAGGGTGAACTCGCAATGGTTTGTCATGGGAATGGCGGTTGCTATGAGCAATGGTGGCAAGAGTGAATGATGCCAGTGTTCATGGGAGTTTAACAGCTGAGGTCCTGTGCCTGGGCTGACTCCTGACTGGAGGGGCCTTGACCTAGGACCTTCACCTTTTTGTTATTAAATTCCCAGCACTTCAGATTTTTCTCTGAGCTCCTAGCTGCAGTGCCCCGTGTGTAGAGGGGCTGAAGGGTCAGCCATACAATGGCTATGCCCTGGCTGACAGAGTCCTCACAAGTGAGGGTGAGTGCTTCTTCATGAGGGGTTCAAGGTGAAGGCTCTGACAGAGCCACAGTGATCCATTAGGAAGGGCAGGGCACAGGCTTGGGCAGCTCAGCCCAGGCCAGCTGATGTGTTCAAAGGTGCAGCCAGCAAAGGACTGGAAAATTCAAGGTGCCTGTGTGATTCACCTTGTCTTTCGAAACCTATCATGTGACCCATGCCTGTAATCACACTTAGGACGCTGAGGAGGGAAGATCTTGAGCATGAGGCAAAAACAAAATATAAAAACCAAACCCCACCAAAAAGAGCAGCTATTGCATGGAAGAGTTACTTCCGAGTTCTGAGACACACACGGTGAGAGTGGCAAGCCCCCTTACTTCGGCTCTGCGAGGGGTACACAGCACTGCTGTGGCCCAAAGGCAGCCTGCCTGCAGAGTAGGTTTATAGGAAGTTACAGAATTGGAACTGTGTGGGCTGCACACATTCTCAGGGTTAGGCCGAGTGGACTTCTGATGTGTGGAATTCAGATGTCAACTGGGACCAAAGTGTCTCATTTTAAAATCACAAATAGGGGTGGGGAACCGTGGCTGAATTACCCAGCTTGACACGCCCTGCAGGACAATTTGACATGGCTCCTCCAGGGGCTAATTTGAGATTCTGATGGGCTCTGGCCTGCGGTCTCCAGACAGTAAAGAAAGTGGCTTTTGAAGTTTGGAGCCCTTCACCAGAACCCAGAATGTTTTAAAATAAAGGATGATTTAAGAGTCAGCCTGTGTATGCCTGGACAAAAAAAGCCACCCAGAAAAAAAAGCTTGTTTTTGAAGTTCACACAACTGGGCAGCTCAAGGCAGGAGCAGCTGCTACCCACGCCCAAGTCAGGGAGTGTTTGCAGACAGGGTCAAGGTAGCCCAGGCTGCCCTCCTCATCCTGTCAAGTGCTGGGTTTCCAGGCAGGTGCCACCACGAGCAGTGAGACGCCCGTATTTAACAAACTGAGGCCTAGTTCATGTACTCGGTCCAGTGAAACGTGAGGGAGGCAAGCTCTCACTGGGCAGAGAACTGAGTTCCCTCATTCTGCTTTAGCTCACTGTCCACCACATAAAGCCTGCGAGGCCAGAATGAGGCTGGAGCCCTGGCCTTGAGTGCAACAGTTTAATCTCATCCTGAGGCTCTTTTCCTGCTTGGCCCAGTTAGGCGCCTCAGCCAGCCTCTTGGGTTAGTTTCTGACTTTCACAGAGCAGTGGAATAACTGCAGGAACCCTGAAGCGACCGCATTTCACACAGAGCAGTGAAGAGCACGGCCATTCCCTCTACCTTTCAAAAGCACCTAAGTGGCTCTTGCGCCTGGTGTGCGGTGTCACCCATCGCTGCCTGGCCTTTGGGGACCCCAAAGGGGCTCTGGGCTGTACTAGGGGTGAATCAAGAGACAGGCTCACTAGAGAAAATCGTCTTACATTCTCTTATTATTAATATATATGCAGATCTGTTAAATATACAGTAATAAATTCTATCAAATAACCAGAACAAGGCATTCTGCTGGCATTCTTTCCCACAGGTTAGGGACAACTCGCTGTCACTCTCCAAAGCTTAAGACTTCGGTGCTGATTTCAGTCCCAGGCCACAAAATAAATCAAGACATTAATTGCACTACGGACACAAGCAAGCTGAAAGGAACGTGGGATTAGGTGGAATCAATGGTGTTTTGCTTGCATCAGAGCCACAGTGCAAATGGCAAATAGTGTGCGTTTCTCATAGCTTCTTGGATGTGCTAGGGAGGCAGGAAGTGGCTGCTGTGACCAGCTGGAGCTTCTTAAGGGTTCACTGCTTCTCTGGCTCTTCCGTCTTAGACTCTTGTTTCAGTTTGTAATCAGCCAGGGCAGCCTTGATGGCATCTTCTGCCAGCACTGGAAGGCATGGAAGGGTGGATAGCTTCAATTTCTAGATACTGGAGAGGTGGTCTTTATCACACTTTACACACTTACATACACACCACACTGCATATTTGTACATTTTTGTAAATACGTATCTACTTAGAATATGTATGTATGTGTTTGTATATGTAAATGAGTGGGTGCATGTGCCCTGGCATATATGGTGGTCAAAGGACAACTCTGGGGAGTGGGTTTAGAGGCTTGGTGGCAAGCTTTGCCCCTAAGTTGCCTCCCTGGCCTGAGAGTGGTCTTAAGAAAGAGAATCTTTTTAGCTGGAGGGGGCTAGAGCTGGGAAGGCCCAAGAGTGCCCAAGCTGGGCACACAGACTGGGACAGCCATGCCTTCCTGGCTGGGGCAGTGAGGGCATTTGCAGAAAGCACCTATCACCCAGCAAAGACACTACAGGGATCAGGTGTGGCTGGCGGTTGCAGGTGCCAAGGGGAGCTGCTCATGGCAGCTGTTCTGTACACGTCCTCCTGCAGCCCCACACTGAAAGGCTGTTGCTGAGGGTGAGTACCGACAGTGAGGCTATGGGGAATAGAAGCTGAGAGTGGCAGAAAGCCTCAGTAGTGTGTTAGGGTGACACCCTCCTTCCTGCTCTCTGGGGAGGCATCAGATCTGAATGCAAGCTCTGAGGTGCAGGGACTCTCTCTCACAGGGCAGTGCAGTGGGTATTACACAGTGGCCTCAGGCCTTGCAGACGGACTGAGATAGCACAGAGAGTGGGGTTCAGAAAGTGCAGTGGACAGGGTGTGGAAAAGCTGTCTCCCGCCAGCTGTCCTGCCGGTGTGGTAGGAACAGCGCAGATTCTGAACAGAGACCCTGGCTTACCTCTGGCCCTCCTACTGCCTTTCCCCAAGCCTCATGTCCTCATCTCTGAGGGGCTCCTGCTGGAATGTTTCTGGGTGTTCACTGTGGCTCCAAGGCACAAGACCTCTGAGCCTGCCTTCCTAGAGCTCTGGGCTGTGAGAACACAGACTCCAACTTCCCAAAGGTTAACATGGCCGATGTTCTCTGGGGTCTCAGACTGGGCTCCTGACAGGGAGTTCATGACTACCAAGCTGCCTGGCATGCGGGACACTCACTGGAGCAGTGCAGTTTCACGGGTGGAAGGCAGAGCTCTTTGGCGATGTCTGTGTTTTTGATGGTCAAGGCTTCTTCCACCTGAGGTGAAGGGGAAAAAAGGGGCAGTTTTAGTGAACGTTGTCATGCTAAGGTAGGCAGTGAAAAGGGAAGGCCAACACACCTCCCGACAGGCTGTCAGGGGTAACTTCTGCTTAGTAAGTCAAAGCACTTCTTGGGCAGGACTGCCACTGTGTACCAAGGGCTCTCCAGGGGGTGGCGCACATTCATGCTGCCTGGCTGAGTGAACAAGATTAAGATACCCTGTGCACTGAAGGCAGGCACTGCCTAGGCTACTGTGCAGCCTCTGCCTAAGGATGCCTGGGGTCTCAGGGCTCTGAGAGATGACGAGGGCCAGAGAGGCATGGCCTGCACATTAAGGAAAGCCAGCCTCCCTCAGATAGGAGGCTTCCTGATCATGGCTCAGAGCCCTCTAACTGTCAGGTCCAGAGAGCATGTGTCCAGTTCCACTTCCCTTTTCCTGAGGCTGGTTTTTAACTAATTTCCTTTGAGCCATTTTCTTTCAGGACAAGCAGGCCTGGGCCTCCAGGAGCTCTAGAGCCAGAATGCCTGGAGCAGGTGGCATGAGGCTAGCAAAAGGCTCTGCTAGAATGCTGGCTGGCAATGCAAGCATGCCAATCCATGACTGAGCTTCCTGAACTGGGTCCTCTGAGGGTGCAAAGGGTGAGCACACTGCCTTAAGACAAAATCTCATGTGGTCTGGGTAGTCTTTAAATGGCTGGGAAGCTGAGGAGGACCAGTCCTCCTGTCCCTTCCTCCTAAGAGCTGGGATTACAGGCCTGTGTGCCATGTGCTGCCTACTAGGCTGGTGTGGGTGGTTTCTCAGCAGCTGGGTCTTAGCAGCCTCAGCTCTTCAGACCCTCTGCTGTAGCTGCTGGGGAGAGCTCGGGTAGAGAATGCCACAATCCTTTCCTGATCTCGCTCAAGGGGCCCTGGCCAACCACCTGGATACTGCTTACTCGGCTCTCACCCTTGTGGGGATTTTGACTTCTAAATCCCTTTCTACACAAGCTACTTTTACCAATATGTGTGTGTCTTTCTGGACTCCTTTAAGCAGTAGGTTGGAGGAAATAAACAGTAACCACAACACAGCAACTCCCAGGAAACCTCAGTGACCTTAGAGACATAAGGGACAACCCAAGATTTTCTTTCAGTTCTGCTATTGGGGGGACTGGTAATGATCCTCTTCTATTTGACTGACAACCAATAGTAACAATAATTAACAAAAAGGCCCGTAACTCACAATATAACCAGTACTTGGGTAGAAAGAGAAATTAAACTTTAGAAAAATGACTTGTGTGTGTGTGTGTGTGTGTGTGTGTGCAAGTTTCTGCTTGGTGCTCTAGGCTGGCTTTGAACTTGCCATCTTCATCTTCCTGCTTTTTGCTTTGTGACTTATGGCTGGATTCTCCCAGAGCCAGGGTTGCCGGGAACTCTGATTTAATTCTACAATTTTGAGACAGGTCTCATTATGTATACCATGCTGGCCTAGAACTCAACAGAGATCCTTGTGCCTCTGCCTTCTGAGTGCTGGGATTAAGTACTTCTATGCAGTTTGTGACCACTCTTACCGTTTTCCCCTTCACCCATTCCGTGGCTAAGGAGCTGGAGGCAATGGCAGAGCCACAGCCAAATGTTTTAAATCTGGCATCCACAATCTTCCCCTTTTCGTCCACCTGGATCTGCAAAAGAAACAGGAGCTAAGAGGTGATTCCACACCCTGACGCCTGGAATCCAAGATCCTAGCTTGTGGAGGCCCACAATGGGCACTGCCCACGAGCCTTGGCTTGCTGTCCACACCAGACGCTATGATGTCCATCACTGTGTTTTGTTTTCAAGTGCTCAAGGACAGACAGTGAAACTGGCAGTCCACACAGGCCAGCTGGAGAGGAGCAGGGTGCCTTTGATCCCACCTGGTTCTGTTTTCAGCCCTAGCCTGCTGTATATGAATTCCTATTTGCAGAAGTCTATTTACAGCTGCTGCTACTATCAGCCTCCTTAGTCCCTGGAAGAGCCTTCAATCAAGGTCTCTACTGACCCCATTCCATTGGGCACTGATAGATCAATGGCTCCTTCTTACTTGCCATTAAGGAAACAGCTAAAGCTATGGCTTACTGAGTTACAGCCCACAACCTCCACGGTCCTTCCTTTTTGTGGAGAGTTCCTTGGAAGTCTTCATTTGGTCAGTAACATTCACAAAGCCTTTCACTTCATGGAAAGCAGGATCTATGCTGATGTAGTGAAGGGGAAAATGAGGTTATCTGTCTCAGAATAAGACCTGAGTCTCCACCCTCACCATCCATGACAGCCACTCATCCCACCTCACAGGAAAAGGCAGACAAGACAGGTACAGGTGGTGATCTCTATCATTCAGCTGGTACCTGCAACTTCATGACGTCACCACATGCCGGAGCACCCACCAATCCGGTTCCAACATTTTTAGATGTCTTGTCGAGGGACCCCACATTCCTGGGATTCTCATAATGATCCACAACCTGAAATGACAGAGTAACAGAAATCATGATGGCTTTGCTTATTTCCCTTCTTCAGAGGAGAGGAGAGAACATGTGAGCCAAATTCTTTTCATCTCCTTCCCGATGATCTTCCTTTTGGAGATAGTGTCCGAGATATTGGCAAAAACTCAGCCACATCTTGGTTTCAAAGGGTTTTCAAACACAACCAACCACTTGACTTACAAACTGTTACTAGATTTGGGCTCACACACCACTTCTGTTTTTCCCAACAAAAATCACTTTCATAAGAGAAATGTGCATTTAAAAACCCCAGGAATAAAACTGGCTGCAAATGGAAGATTTCCTCAGAAGTTTCAAGGTGACTGTCAGAGATTAGCGGAGTTTGGGGAATGAGTCATTTGTGAACGTAAACATCAACACAGCGTCACCCTGGTGCAGGAGCGCCCCCTGGTGCCATAAGACTGCCAGCCCGTCCACGTTCCTGTAGCTAGTAATGTCAACAAAACACGCTTCCTTTTCGGAGTTTGAAGGCCTTGGACAAAAGCACAAGAGCCAGAACAGAACAAACAGCTATTAATGTCAGGGCCACACTAACATTTAATAACCTCGAGGGTTTTGTTGTTGTTTTTCTGTTTTTTTTTTTTTTTTTTTTTTTTTATGTTTTGCTAGTTAACAGGAGGCACAATCATCTGCAGATTTTGAGGCCTGAGGCCCCACAACACAACATCTAACCGGACTTTCGGTGTCTTGTTCAGCTGTGGTAGTCTTTTGTTTTTCCAAGTGAGTCTCAAGTCAAGAGTACTTTACGTCCCTAGAACGCAGGGGCCCGCAAACTACCCTTCTATACTTTCTGCTCCCTGTAAATAAACCAAGAACCGAAGTTTTATGTTGGTTAGGTGCTTGGCTCGCCTCGGGACCATCAGCTCCTAAAATAATAAATCGTCATAAGTGGTTTCTATTTCTTGGATCGAGGGCTCCAGCCGAAGACCCCTTTCAGATATGAGAGAAAAGGTTAGGCGAGGGCCAGTGACTTGCTCAAAGGCCAACTAGGCAAGTGCAACGGCCTAGCTGGTGCTGCAGAGTGTACTCAGGAATGTGTGTGTGTGCTGTCCCTTGACCCCCGGCATGACATACCAGGACCCTCCCTTTTGGGTTGTCAGAGTTGGGACACTCCAAGTGGCGGCCACAGCGGGGCTGGGGTTGCCGCGGGGTCCTTGGTGGTGGTTATCTGTGCAACGGCTGCAGGTCCCCTCGATGGTTCGCGCACCCCCTCGCCCGCCCATACCTTCTTGTGGTAGAGCCGGGCTGGAGCCGACAGCTCCCGGGCGGGCAGGCGCGGGCTCCGGAGCAGCAGCGCGGACGCCGCCCGCCTCAGACGGCCCGCTCCAGCCGCCGCCATCTTGCCGGCTTGCACCCGCGTCGACCTCTGCGACGCCGAAGGAAGGTCGCGCTCGCCTGACGTCACCGCAGCCTTGCGCCCACGCGCTCCCCTTCCCAGCGCGCGCTCGCGATTTGGCCGGTCTCTTTGACCACGCCCGGGGGCGGGGTCGAGGCTCAGAGCGGGAAGGTCTGAAGCGGAGGGGACGTTGGTCGGGGTGCCGCGATGGGTGTGGGTGCTCGGGCGTATTCGGGATTCGAACTAGCTTAAGTCCCTGTGAGACTCCTCGCTGTGCTTGTAGGGTCCCTCCTCCTTCCTAATTCAGCCGTTTCCTCTATGGAGCAAGTGCATGTTGAGTGTACACTAGGTGTCAGAATCCCGGGGGTCCCGAGGAGAGCAAAGCCGACTCGATTCCCGCCTCTTTAACCTTGTGAGTGAAGGAGAAAGACAGTGGGCAGAGAAACGCCGATGCTTTCCTACCTCAGGAACGAGACGTACAGAAAGGAAACAGCACGCCTCGACGTAGGACAACGCACGGCACTCCTAAACCACATTCTAATTAGTAACGCTGGCTGTGAGGTCACAACATTCACGTGCTTAGGGACGGTTAAAAAAGGGAAGGGAGCTTTGTTCTTCGGGAGAGAGGCTCTTCTCATATTCGATCGCCGAAGAACTGGAGTTTTGTCTTCACCCGAGGCTCGGCTGCTGGGAAACGACCACGCACTAGAGCGGACTGAGCCCTGTAGAAGGCGTTTAGGCCAAGAATGACTTTGACCTTCTCAAGATGGCGCCGCAGCCGCACCTACAGACATCGCGCACACGTGACTTCCGCTATGACACAACTTCCGGTTCAAAGACCCAACTCCTGTCCAAGGTTGTAACGGAACACGCCTTACGCCGATGGGCCTTTTCTTTCTGACAGTGGCCTTTTGAGGAGTTTAAAGAGAATATCAGCGGCGGGTATTCTACTTTTTTTTTTCCTTCTGAGGCCCTCCGTGCCGCTTCTGGTGGTGACTCAGTGGAGTTTTGATCAGGCGGACGCCACGGACAGCCCGATGCTCGCCCGGCTTCGGCGGGAGAGGGAAGACCCGAGAGTCGCAAGCTCCGCAAGATGGCGACGGCGGCCGCATCCTCGGCGTCCGAGCCGGAGGTTGAGCCCCAGGCCGGGCCCGAGGCCGAGGGAGAGGAGGATGAGGCGAAGGCAGCCAGTGTGGGGAGGAAGGTGCCGTCCCGCGCTGTGGCCGCGGACGCGGCCAAGACCAAGGGCCCAGGGTGGGAGCTGCATCAGGAAGGCGTGAGCGAGAGCGACGGGGATGAGGAGGACGCCATGGCTTCCTCCGCTGAGAGCTCCCCCGGGGAGGACGAATGGGAGTACGACGAGGAGGAGGAGAAGAACCAGCTGGAGATCGAGCGGCTGGAGGAGCAGGTGGGTCGGGGTGGGCAGCGGGCTCCTTCCCTCGGGTCCCAGGCCCGCCCCGCCCCCTCGGTCCTATTGAGACCGCTGAGGTCGCCAGCGCGCCGTCGGTCACCGTGTCTCCCCGCATTCCGGGCGCGGTGCGTGCCCAGAGCTTTGCTAATGTAGTGTTTCATGGAATTCTCCCCACGGCTGGGGAAGTGGTGTTAGGCCGGTTTCACTGAGGGAAACTGAGGCCCGTGGAGTGGCCTCTTGCCCAAGGTAACACTTCACTGAATTGGTTATCCTTTTAAGTTGAATCTAGGGCCTGTACTCTCTTTACTTTTTAAATTTGTGTTTGTATGTATGCGCCCACACTACTGTCTTTTACCATGTGTGTTCCGGGCGTTGAACTCTGGCCATCAGGTGTGGCAGTAAGCGCCTTTGCCTGCTAAACAATCTCTCCGGCCCAGGACTGCCACTCTTAAATGACAACCGGAAGAGAATTTGTTTTCCTTAACGGATACTAATAATGGTCAAATGTGGTGTTGGAGGGAAAAACGGCCGCGACTGTGACAGAAAGGCAGAGGTTGAAGCTTCTGTGTCGACGGCTAAAGCCCGAAATCTTGTGGGGGCGGGGCGGGGCGGGGCTTGAGACAGGGTCTCACTGTGTAGACCAGGTTGGCCTGTAGCTCACAGAGATCTGTCTTCCTCTGCCGCCCCAGCTAGACGAGGGCCACCATACCCAGGCCTCCCTACCCCACACTTATTTTTATCCTACCTGTGCGAGTGTTTTGCTCGCATGTGTGTCTGAGCAGAGGCCAGAAGAGGGCATCGGGTCTCCCGGAACTGCAACAGCCTGGTGGTTCTCAAACCTGGTTCTCTGGAAGAGCAGCTAGTGTTCCTAACTGCTGAGCCATCCTCCTTTTGGAAGTCTGTAATAGCTCTTCTACTTGTGTGTCCTTGAGTGAATTTTTTTTAACCGCTTTTACTGTAGATTAGGAATCATAATTCCTGCAAAATGTGATTATCATAATCATAACACATGACTCTTTCATAATTTAGTTGTCATAGTAATTGTGACCCCAGTGCCTGGTACATAGTAGTGATCTGTTAGTGATCTGTTAGTGATAATTCCTTTATAATCCTGTGTGCTAGCAGGCATAGGTGACACAGAGTAATTGGAGCAAAGATCAATAAATGGTCACTGTGTATGAGTGGGCAGGGGAACCAGGAGTGCAGGTTTGGTGCTTGCAGCTAGCCACAGCAGGTCTGAAGGGGTGAAGGGCACCTTAGGTTACTTGGGAAACTCATGGATGTAGCACTTGAGAGCTGATGAGCCCCCTGGTCTGAGACCTGATGTTTTTCCCCAACACACTTCTGCTGGTGCCTCCTCTTGGGCAAGCCCAGCTGTAAACCACTGTGCCAGAAAGACAAAATGTGGTACACCCCAGTTCATAGGACAAGGAGATGATATGGAGGGAGTTGGTAGAGTGGGGCCCAAAAGAGATGAAGCCTGTTCTCACAAGGAAACGGCGCAGAGCAAATGCTGCGGTTTATCCGAAGTCACACAAGTGGGCTGTGATCTCATGGTTATCTGTGGACCAAATACCACATTGGATGTACAGCCTCTAGTGGTGTAAAGTGATGCACACAGGCCACTCAGTTAACCTTGCCTGTATGTGTGGCACTGATGTTTTTCTAGTTACAAAGTGATGTGGCTGGTCCCACCTACCGTTATGTGTAATTGTTAAAGGTCTTGGAGCAGGCAGGTGGTTATCATTTCTACCTTTTAGTAATGAGTGTTCTGAGTCCTTGTTTTGAGGGACAAGAGCTTTTTGAAAACTTACACTTAACTTTGTCTTGAGACAGGTGCACACATGCCTTGGGGATGCATAGAAGTCACTTTTCTCCTTCCACCGTGACTGTCTGAGGGATCAAAGTGATATTGTTGGGCTTGTTTGCAGCTGCTGAGCCGTCTCTTCAGCCCCAAGAGGACTTTGTAGCTCAAACTTGTGGCAGTCCTCCTCCCTCAGCATCAGCCCTCACCTGCTGGATTCTAGGCATTTAGCCACTATTGATTGAGCAAATACTAGGGATTCAGGGAGCGGATTGTCTGTGTCCTTGCCCTTAATGAAATGTCTTCAGGTTATGTAATGACATGCAGTTCCTGTATTGGGCAGTATCAGTGGTGTGCACTTTCTCATTGGCCTTGCAGCATTTTGAGCCCAAGTCTCCATCTTCAAGTATTTGATGAGGACTGGCTCTCCAGGTAGTCAGGGTTAAGGTCGGGGTTAGGGTCAGTGTGCGTAACTAAAGCAGTACCTTTTTAACGTGCAGTTGTGGTTTAGCTAAGCAGATCTGTCTGCACACAGATGGCTCTGCCCTCACGCCTTGAATCGGAGGTGTCCCTGTACAAATCCCCACCTCTGAGCCCGTGTAAATCCCCACCTCTGAGCCCGTGTATGTCATGTGGTCATCTGTTCCTGAACCCTTGCTCTGGGACTGTGAGCACGTCACGTGCCTGGCTTTTTTAGGTGGGTGCTGGAGATCACACTCAGGTCTTCGTGCCTGCTCATGAGTGCTCTGCCCGCTGAGCCACCTGGGTGGTCCTTACATGCATGCCAGTGTGCACTTGCTGTCCTGCTGTCACAGTGTGAGTTCACACACCACCCTAGTATCCTGAGGTGCCTGTCAGTGTGAACATGCTGCCATGCTTTGACAGCGTGTGTTCACACTCCAGCCATGTATCTTGCTTGTTTCAGCGTCAGAAGCTGACACCTGTCTACTCAGTGACAGTTCTGAGTTGCTTCTCAGACCTGTGTGTGATGTCTTAGTTTTGTTCACTGTTGCTGTGGTAAACACCTGACAGAAGCAACTTAGGGGAATGGGTTTATATTTGCTCACAACTTCAGGTTATAGCTCACAACTACAAGGAAGTCAAGGCAGCTGTCACGTGCACAGTCAGGTGCAGAGAGAATGTTTGAGTGCGTGCCTGTGAGTGCCCAACACAGTTGAGAACTTTCAGAACTCCCCTGCCTAGGGAATGCGCCACCCACAGTGCCACCTCACCTAGTGCAATCACAGACACCCTCAGGCTGCTCTGATCTAGAAATCCCACATGAAGACTCTTCCCAGGGGGCTGTAGACAGGGCCAGGTGGAGGGCGTGAACTACGATCACGTGTTCATGGGAAGGGCTTGCAGACACCCCTGGCACTCAGCAGCAAGGGCCTCCTCTTCATGGTCCCAGCACATTCAGACTGGGCTCTGATGGCAGTGCTGCGGTAGCGGTGTTCTCCCTGTAGGGGACCTGGACCGTGTCCTTGGTGACCTCACACTATTGCTCTTGCCTTGTCGCATTTGCACTGACCCACATGGGAGTGCTGTCTTCCCCGTCCTGCAACACCGTGCTGATACAGAGCCTGCAGGGATTAAGCCCGTGCATTCAGCCCATCATGAGATCATGGGGTGGGCTGATGGTGATGATCCTCTTGCCTTAGCCTCCAGATGCTGGCCTCACAAGCATGTTCTTGGAGGTCAGAAAAGGCTTGGATCCCCTAGAACTGTAATTATAGATGATTGCAAGCTGCCATGTGGGTCTTAGAAATGGAGCCCAGGTCCCCTGGAAGAGCAGCCAGTGCTCTTAACCTCTGAGCCACCTCTCCAGCCCACTTTTAAATCATTGTTTATGTTCTGTATCAATATCTTTCTGTGAGATTCGATACAAAGCAGTTGGTGATTTAATTTGGTGATTTAATCTCAGAGTTCGGTTCTTCGGACCCAGGCCACACTCAAGGGCCAGTAGTTGGTTTCAGCAGATGGAACTAGCGCTGCCCCATCTATGACCCCTGGCTCTTTCCTGCTCCACTGCTCCATCCTCTGCCATTTCAACAGTCTGGTTTCTTAGCATTACTGTTTTTTTTTTTTTTTTTAACAGATTTTTTCCCCTTTTTTTTTGAGACAGGATCTCACAAAAATAGCCTTGGCTGTCCTGGAGCTCACAGAGATCCTCCTCTCTCTGCCTCCTGAGTGTTGCGATTAAATGTGTGTGCCACCACAGTTCTGGGATCCAGGGACGTAAGCACACCTGGCACATAAGCTTTGTTGATTTAGGTGTTTAATATCTCAGGAATGTTGCAGACATCCACCTTGTGGTCATGTGTCTCTCATGAGATGGCTTCCTTGGCACTTTGCAGTTTGGGTTGTGCGGTGCCAGCATATTGAAATGCTATTTCCAGATTCTGTGCTTTAAAATTTGCCACCTGGAACATTTCCAAATGTGCACATCTTAGTGTAATGTATGTTCATATGTGTGAAGATCTCCAGAAGGGTTCATTTTGCAGAGCTGTACACAGTGTCCATGCAGTAGTTCCCTTCCGTCTCTCCCAGCCCGGGAGAAAGCAAGCTTCCTTTCTTGACTTTCACTACTTCAGAAGCTTCATATAAAAGTTGATCTGTGCACACTGCTGATTCTGCACCTTGTTTCTAAGGATTTGCAGGTCAGTCATGACTTACTGTGCCGCCGTGGCGTGTGTGTAGTTGTCACCTTCCCTCCTCGTAGGTCACTAATTTCTTTTCCTTGGCTGTTGGCGCAGTAGACTCACCTGCATGTTTGACCAGAAAACACTGGTGGACCATCTTTAGATGGTTCTGGGTGCATGTCCACTGGGATCGCTGGGGGAGCCTCACAGGCTGGCTGTGTCTTTCTATTCTTATTTTGCTAATTAAAATTTTAAATCATGGTTCGGCAGTTTAATCAGATGCCCTTTCTGCAGTGAAGTTGCTGTTTTCCCTTTATCTGCTAAGTGGAAAATTACACTAACTGGTTTTCTGACTCAGAACTACCTTTCCATTTCAAGAACATGCTTGGCACTGTTGTTGGTCCTGCGTTGGTCCCTTCCCTTTGCTGTGTTGTAGGCAGGATATGGGTGCTCCACTCTGGTTTGTACCATAAGGACACTGGCTGTTGGCAGTTTGGGGGCCAGGAAGAAAGCTTCATGACCCTCAGGTGCCAGCTGGCATGGGGTGGAGGCTGTGTGCTGGGTATTTTGAGGCTCAGGTGTTGCCTGTGGACAGCTCTAGCAGGTTGTGTGGTCTGGGTTCCTGGCACCTTTTCCAGGCTTTGGTGGTGTATCTGTCAGCCTTGCTGTGGAATGACGCTGGTTTCAGTGTTCATGTCCTTGCTGGCTGATGGTGTTGAGCACTCGCTCAGTCTTCTGTTTACTGTCCATATGTCCTCAGGAAATGTTTAGTCTGTCGTTCCTTCCCTTCTTTTCCTCCTCCCTCCTTCTCGCTGCTGACCTGGAATTCACTGTGCAGGTCAGGCTAGCCTCAGAAATTTTCCTGGCTCTGCCTGAGTGCTGAGATTAAAGACATGCAGCACCATACCTGGTAATTTTCCCCCCTTGAAACAGAATTTCTCAGAGTAGCCAAGGCTGGCCATGAACTCAGTCTTCCCACTTCTGCCCTTGCAGTACTGGGATTGCACCAGGCCTGACTCACAGAGGTGAGTCTGTATTGGCATGCTCTGTATTGGCATCTTCCACTGAAGTGACTTAGTATCAGGTTGTGCTGCTTGAGTGGCAGCTTTTCCCACTCCCTTGTGAATACTGTCAGATGGTCTTAAGTCATCTGGTTCCTTACATAACTTAGAACCCACCCCCTTCTCCCTCTCCCCTCCACAGGAGCTTTGGCTCCTTTCTTTGCTTACCATTTTTGTTCCCATTCTTTCTTCTCTGGGGTCCACGATCCCTTCTTAGCATTATTTTTTTCTCCTGGGAGAATGTCTTATGGATCCTTCAAGGCGGGTCTGCTAATGCTATTCTTACATTTGTCCTTTGTATTGATGTGTAAGAGTTAAAATATTTTCAACTTTTACCTTGAAAAGTTTCACATGTAAAAAGGAGCCTGAATCTACCACTGAGCTTGGACAGACTCCAGCTGTTCTGCTGTTGGAGAGACCCCACCATAGTGTGAGATTTGGCTGCCAAGGGTAGAGGGGCCAGGACCACACCAAGTGCAGCTGACTGCAAGGCCTTCAGTGACAGCAGGATTGGTTCCAGAGTAGGAGGGTGGCCAGGGCTAACCAGAATGCACCAGCCCTTCTCAAAACCAGTCACATGAGCCTGCAGACATGGCTCAGTGGTGAAGAGCACTTGGCAGAGGGCCTGAGCTTGGTTCCCAGCACACAGGTCGGGAACCGCCTGTAACTGCAGCTCGGGTGGTTCTGCCTTCTAGACTCTGAGGACAACCATGTCACTTGTGCTCCCCTGTATATACAAAATTAAAGAAAATAATAAAAATAATGAACAGCTAAAAAGCTGTGGACATGGCAATGTCATTTTAGAATCTGCCTAGGTGCCAGTGGCTGCTCTGTCTCAACTGGCTGTCTTGTCATAGAGGCGTTTGGGATGTGTGACAGTATTGGTGGGCACAGTCATAGATCCCACTCCAACTTCTTGCTATCCTTACTTGTTCGTAAAATGAAAGAGCTCATATGACACATCCAGCCCATGAGCCCTTTGGGCTGGACATTAGCGGTGCCCCCGCTTCATAGTTGGAGCTGAGGCTGAGGAGGTCAGTGCTGACTTCACTCTGTTTCATTAGAGGGCCCAAGGCAGAGGGGAGCACCTCTTACCTTGTTTTGTGTGTGGTGGGCCTGGTGCTGCCCTGCCTGCTCAGTGTCCTCCCAGGTGACACCAGTTGGGGCATACCTGTCTGTGGTTACCAGAATGTGCCCAGTGCAGAGCCACGCTGAGGCTGGCTTTTAAGATTTGAACCTTCCTCTTAGCTGTCCATCAATGCCTATGACTACAACTGCCACGTGGAGCTGATCAGGCTGCTGCGGCTGGAGGGAGAGCTCAACAAAGTGAGGATGGCCCGCCAGAAGATGAGTGAGATCTTCCCCTTGACTGAAGGTAAGGCTGTGGGGAGGCAGGTGCTGCCGCTTTGAGGGTTGAGATGATGGAGGGCCGTCTGCTTCTTGTTTCTTCTTTGTCTTAGACTGTTCTGCAGATTGTGGTGTGAGGCTGCAGATTCACATGTGAAATACTGGTTTCTTACTCCAGACTGTGAGAACCTTTCCTCTAACAAGTAATTTAACTTCACTGTGCTCTCTTCTTCATTCCAACAAGTGTGTAGTTAGTCTATGCTCACAACACCACAGAATTGTAAGTTTAGGTAAACCTTTATAGTTTTAAATCTTTTAATTTTTTATGTATATGGCTGTTTTTGCCTGCCTGCACGTATGTGTGCACCTGGTGGACACAGAAGTCAGAAGAGGGAGTCAGATTTCCTGTAACTGGGTTACAGACAGCTGTGAATGCCCATGTGGGTGCTGGGAATCAAGCGTGGGTTCTTTGGAAGAGCAGCCAGTGCTCTTAACCACGGAGTCATCTCTCCAGCCTCTAGACTGAAATGGTTTTACATGCGAATGTTTCATTTTGGTTCAGTACTTGTACATTTTGTTTATTTTCACTCTTTGCTTCTGAGAAACTACTTGCAGTGAGCAGCTTTGTGGCTGGTTCTCAGTGCATGCTTACAACTGGCCTTTCAGCTTGGAAATGCTGGCATGGCCACATCTCTGTCCTAATTCCCTCTCACCCAGTACAGCTCACAGGCTGCTGAGAGGTCATACTGCACACGCTGTCGAGGCTTCTCACTCACAGACCATAGGCAGATCACAGAAACAGTGGAGACACAGTTTTCCAGCCATCAGCTGAGGCTAGCAGTAGTTCTTGCCTGGTACATGACAGAGTAGCACCCACTCCTGTGGACAGGTGTGTCACATGCTAGCTGGCCCTAAGTCGCCACATGGATGCCATCACTCTTAGTATCTTACAAGGTTGGTATAAAGGTTGAGTGGATCATGTGCAAGTCTTTGCAGAATGTGTGATGTGTGGTGGTCGGGGGTCTGTGTGTGGAGGCACAGACTGTGTGCTCTGCTCTGGGAGCCCGTGTAGCAAGTGCAGGTGGGTGCTGACCTGTGCTGTCGCCTCTAGAGCTCTGGCTGGAGTGGCTGCACGATGACATCAGCATGGCCATGGACGGCCTGGACCGCGAGCACGTGTATGAGCTCTTCGAGAGAGCCGTGACGGACTACATCTGTGAGTGCCTAGGCCCTCAGTGCGGCCATGCCGTTTCCGTGTCATCAGGGAAGGAGGCGTCAGTCCAGAGCTTAGACTTCTCTGTTTTCTTTGTGATACCTAAGTGTTCAGTAGAGATTGTTTGGGCTTAAGGTGAAAGAAAAACATTCGGAGGAAGCGAGTAATTGCTTCACTCAGCATTTGTCTGCCAGGAGGACCTTCCTGGGATTTGTAGGCACTTAAAGTTTAGCTTGTATGTATGTATTCATTGAAGCAGACCCTCACTGTAGCCCAGGCTAGCCTTCAGTTTGCGACTGTCCTGCTTCTGCCTCCTCTGAGTGATGGGACAAAGACATGAAAGCCTGTCCCTCTGTGTCCTTTTTGTGATTATTGCTTTGAGACCAGGTCTCGTCATTTAGCTCAAGCTGACTCTGCTTTAGTGTACAGATGTGTCACCACACCCTCACACCTGTCATCATGAGTTCTAAGCCAGCCTGGGCTACACAGTGACTTCAAGGGCAGCTTAGGTGCATAGTGAGACCCCCATCTCAAAAACCAAAATAATGAAGTGTTGGCTTTGCACAGCCTCTTTTACCAGTTTGGACAACATGTTTTTGAGAAGAACATTAAACCACTTTAAGGAAGCTGGTGGGTGCTTTCCTGTAATCCCAGCACTCAGGAGGTGGTTCAGGAGTTCAAGGGCAGCCTTAAGGCATATGGTAAGATGAAGGCGCTCTTGAGACACAGGAGATAACAGCTTTTGGGTCCTAGCTCCAAGATGACCAAAAAAAGAATGGTTGTGTCAAAAGGGATTGTGGCCATGTGCCTTCATATGTGAATCTTCCTGCCCTTGTCTCTCATGTGCTGGGATTATAGGTGTTGCCACCAGATCTGGCAAAGTAGGCTCATTGACTCACACATTGTCACGGATGTACCACTCTCTGGGGAAGATGTTGCTATCAGAGACTCCACGTGAGCTGAGTGTGGTGGCACACGCCTTTATCCCAGCACTCGGAGGCAGAGGCAGGCAGATCTCTGTGAGGTTGAGGCCAGCCTGGTCTACAAAAGCAAGTCCAGGACAGCCAAGGCTACACAGAGAAACCCTGTTTTGAAAAACCAAAAAACTCCAAACTATATAAACCAATAAAACAAGAGACTCCACATGTGTGAGTGAAGTCCCATAATGGGTTCCAGGACATGTGGGGCTGTAGGGAAAACCTTGCCTCAAAACCTCAAATCAAAACAGGAAGTGGATTTTTAATAACAGGGTCAGTGCTTTTGGTTTTATTTTTTCCTTTTGGCCTGAAGACTTGTAAGACTAAGGTTCAGCAAGAAAACTTGACAATCTTTGGACAAGTGACTCAGAATTATAACTGTTGTTAGTGAAATACATTAGTGGGTTCCTTCAAGCCCTCTACCTCATCAGTCTGTCACTTTGTTGTGGATCAAACCCAGGGCCTCGCATGGCTCCATGCATGCTCCATCCCTTCAGTTTCAATGAACTGTGCACACACACTTAGTTGCATACTGTCCCTGGTGTGTGCCGTCTGCGCTCAGCTCTGTCTTAGGAATATGAAGATAGCTCTCCTGAGATTTCAGCATTGTGGGAAGCTGGGTGCTTGCTGGCAGTGTTTTTTCTGCACAGATGAGTATATTTCTGCTTGGCATGTGTGTTCATGAGGGTGACATTAGGGCATGAAAGAGCTGAGCTTACAGGTTACTTCTCATTTTTTAGGTCCCAACATTTGGCTAGAGTACGGCCAGTACTCAGTTGGTGGCATTGGTCAGAAAGGCGGCCTTGAGAAGGTTCGCTCAGTGTTTGAAAGAGCCCTGTCATCTGTTGGCTTACACATGACAAAAGGCCTGGCCATCTGGGAGGCGTACCGAGAGTTTGAAAGTGCCATCGTGGAAGCTGCTCGGGTGAGTCCCCAAGTCCCTGATCCAGGCTTGCAGGAAGTACTGGTCTGAAACAAATGCCCAAGGGTCTAACAGTTATTGCGTGCACCTTTGCCAGTCTGTTAAGGGATGGCAGTAGACAGCAGAGGCAGCGCTCTTTCTGGCAAAGCGAGGGATTTATTTGACTTGGAAGTAGATGTGTTTCCCGATACATTAAAATGCTGTTGCTTTGGTTACATGGCTGTAGGTGAGCAGGTGAGCATATAAGAAAAGCCATACCCTTGGATTCATGTATCTGTTTTGTGTGTAAATGTTATGTACGTGTATCTTTGTGTCACGTTCAGTGTGCCTGAGGGGAGGTTTCAGACAGTTGGATAGACAACTATGTCCTCTCTGTGGGTTAGTGATTGAAGTCTGGTGGGGCCCTCTCAGAGATGGATCACAGCTCCATGTGGAGGTCAACTGTGGCAGCTGGTTTTCTCCTACCTTGTTGGCCTAAGCTATCTCACTGACCCTGGGGTTCCTTATATTCCTTCTTGCCATAGCCCTTAGAGGCAGCCTGTGTAAGACACCATAGTCACAGGCCGGGTTCTGGTGGCGCATGCCTTTAATCCCAGAGACAAGTGGATCTCTGAGTTCGAGGCCAGCCTGGTCTACAGAGAGTCCAGGACAGCCAGGCTACACATAGAAACCCTGTCTCGAAAAACAAAACAAAACAAAACAAACAAGACATCATAGACTGTTCTTTTCAGTTTGAATCGACAATTTGTTGAGATTTCTTTCTGAAGTAGAGGGAACCAACGCTTTCCTTTACTGCCGATTTGCCTCTTTAGCCCATAGCTGCCTTCCTTTCCCCTTCTGACCGGGAACAAACCTTTGATTCACAGCTGGAGAAAGTGCACAGCCTCTTCCGGCGGCAGCTGGCCATCCCACTGTACGGTAAGAGAAGCAGACTTGGCAGCAGCCCGCCCTCTGTTTTGCCAGTGCTGTTGCTCTCTTTCCTCCCAGTGTCCCAGGGGCGGGCAGGGGGTGGGCAGGGGGTGGGCAGCACTGTGCTCCTGATTTGTTTGGAAAAGTCTGTTTTGAATTGTGAATGCTAAGTGATGAGGGTCAGAGGCAGGGTGAGTGAGGGACCATGTTTCCTAGAGCCCAGGTGACACAGCTGGAAAGGGGACATGGACACAGTCCCTCATTTCCTGGGACACTGTTGGCCAAGAGTCCCATGCTAGTCTGTGCACATCAGGGGGCTTTCTGCCATTCCTGCAGTGATTTACCTCAGAAGTTGATTATAGGTATTCCGGTCTCAAGGTTTTGGGCTTGGCTTAAGGGTCTCCCGTAGGTTGAGCTCGTTTTGGCAAGGTTTCAGCAGTGGGAATGGGCAGTGCCAGGAGGGCATCTCTCAGAGCCTCAGGGCAACTGCTTGAGTCCTGTGATCTCTTACTTCATGGCTCCTTGGGCTACTGCTTTAATCTCTGCATCTGCTGTCTACTGGAGTTGTTGGGTGTTGTGCAGAAAAGACCAGGACTTACCTGTTTGTAGAGTCCATGTTTGTGGAGACATGGCAGCCTGAGGCAGCCAGCTGCTCTGCTCTTGGCTTCAGCTCCTTCTCCTGCACCGTGAAGGTTACAGTAGAACAAACCCGGCAGAGGTGGGAGGACCCTGAGGTGGAGGGTGGAAGTGTCGGACTCTGCTGTGCAGCACATGACCAGTGCTGGAAAAGCCTTGTTTGTGGTCTCTTTGACTGATTAGCAGGGCGGTTGTCTGGCCTATTGTTTTGAGACATCCAGAGGCCAAGTGTGGGCTTCACAGAACAGGGGATCTGAGCAGTGAGAGCTGTAATAACCACAGATGTGGGAGGAGTGCAGGCTGTGGAGTGTTATGGCGCAACCCACAGTCTGAATCTGTCTCTCAAAAGATATGGAGGCCACCTTCGCAGAGTATGAAGAGTGGTCGGAAGAACCCATACCTGAGTCCGTACTTCAGAGCTACCAGAGAGCGCTGGAGCAGCTGGAAAAGTACAAGCCCTACGAGGAAGCGCTGGTGAGTGTCTGCTCCTGCAGGTTGCATCCAAAGCTGCACGGTAGACATCTCTTCCAGGTTTGTCTTACTGTGCAATATGTAGAGCGCATAAATGTCCTAGCAGAGTGAACATCCGAGTACCCACCACCCTGAGTAAGAAATGGCACTGCAGTGCCCTAGGAGTCGCCTGTACGCCCTTCTCCGGTTGCCTGTTCCTCCTCCTCCCTTGAGGTAATTAATCACTTTGATGATTCCTATGAGAATCCCTGCCCTTTGATTGATAGCCGTACTCCTGAGAACGTACTCTTGATATACTGCTTGACCCTGCTTGTTGAATTTAGCGTGTGTGCTTAGCTTATGTGTTATAAGTGGTGCAGCCATGTGTTGCCCTGTGGGGCTGGATGTGTAGCAGTGTGCCCACAGAGGCACAGTGTTGTCTGTGCACACAGCTGTTTCTCTAGATGTGTCAGGAGGAACTTGCTGGTCTCAGACTCATGCTGCAGAGGGTCCCCTGCACCTTGCCAGCAGTGGTGACCCTCAGCTACCAGTCTCGATGTTGACATTATTTAGGTTAGCTCGTGGCCATGCTGGGGTTGGAGTTTTGTGTTTTCCTTGATGACTACAGATAGGCCATCTGCTCATGTGCATTGGCCACTGGGGTTTTTTGTTTTGTTGTTTTAGAAGTTGTAAAGTCTTTTTCTGAGTGCTTTTTGGGGAGTTCTGGGTCCTAATGGTATCCTTTGGTTTTGGTGAAGATTCTTTCTTGAAGCTCTAGCCTGGATTTCCTGTTTGGGTCTCCACCCAGCAGGAGCAGGCAGTGATGATGTGAATCTATGTGGCTAGCCAGCTGTAGTCCTGATGTGGCAAGTGTGTCACTGGCCGCAGTGCCGGCCACGCAGAGCTGTATGTGTCGTGGCTCTGTGCCCTGCCTGTTTGGGCTGCTGTGGCAGTGACAGGTGAGCATGCTGCGCTGAGTCTTCTTTCCATGGGGTCGTGGCTTTCTTCAGCTGTTGCCCCTTCCATCAGACCTACGCTCAGGTCCTTAGTTCTTTTAAGTGCTTGATTGCTGCCGCATAGACCTGAGTGTCAGCTTGAAGGAGTTCCCGTCTCGTAGCATGTGTACCCCCTAGGTCTCATCTTTGAGGCCACAGTGACCCCAGCAGCACACCTCTGTCTTGGAGGCTGTAGACGGTTAATGTCTGTTAGTACTTGTAAGTTTCTTCCTAAAGACTTATTTTCTAGTTGTGCTTCCTGACATGTAAGAACGCAGTTGCATTTCACATTATTATTATATTTTCCGTCATCAAGCTTGCTCACATAGGAGTTCTAGTCTTTGGCTGTCTTGTGCTAAAAGTATTGTTTGTGGGCTGCACCACACACCTTGTTGTGCTCTCAGTTTCTTGAGTCAGCTTGGCTTTTGGCTTGACCTTCCAGGCATCATGGTGAGCACTGCCCCAGTCTCTGTTGGCCTTTCTTCACTCTGCCGCTTTCCTTTGGAATCTGAGTTTGTATCTGGAATCTCTTGGCTTGAAGTTGAGTGTGTGCTGTCTCTGCGCCTGGGATTCACTGGCAGCAGATTTTCCCCATTTTGTATCTGACAGGTCCTGCCTTTGTTTTCCTTCTTGACAGCTGTTTTTAGGCTGAAGCTGTACTGCTGTAGTGTTCTTGGCAACAGAACATGTGAAAGGCCAGCTTTTACAGGGTCAGGGAAAAACTGGGAAAGAAAGATCACTCAACAGACTTGTTCTAAGGGTACTAAAATTAATTATCTGGGGCTGTATGAAAAGTAGATACAATCAGCACACAAAAAGGGAGTTTCAGTAGAACTATTGATTATAAGTTCATTTGTTAGAACTATATCTAACTAGATATTTTTGCTTATTATAAGTTTAAAGCAGTGGTTTTATCTGTATGCTCATTATGAGTTCAAAGCAGAAGTTTTGTCTTTTTCTTATTTCAAATGTTCATTATGTGTTCAAAGCAAAAGTTTTTTATGTCAATGTTGTCTGTTTTGTATAGCTAACCATTTATTCTTTATATTAATATTCTGATCGTCTTTCTTATGGTGTTACATACCTGGCCCTCATTCCTGGACTAAACTTAGAATGAATGTTTTTCCTTGATCATTAATTTGTTTTAACCTTGTTTTTCTTCCTGTGGTTCACACAGGTTCATGTGGTTCACAGAGCTCCTAGCAGGGTTTTTGCTATTCTGCAGGAGGGCTAGAAGTTACTTGAATCAATTCAGGAATCATTATCAGGAATTATAAAAGCATCTTCTTGAGAGTCTACAGGAAATCTCTATGCCAGACATACGAGGCAAACATATGAAGGCAATATAGCAACAGTAAGCAGTTTTGAGGCAAAATCCCTGGGACTTTGCCTAAATCAGGGATATACCCATTTTTAGCCGTGCAAAAATGAGTGGACTGCCTCCAGGAAGCTCACTTGCTTGCTTTTTTTTCACAGTTCTTGGCAGAAATACATCTGTCTCTTCTATTGTCATAGACAGCTCAGCTATCTGTCATGGGCTTGCTTCTTGGAGGGAATCATTACTGTGTCTGCTTTTAATCTCCTGTTGGTTTGGTTTGGTGTTCTGCAATCTCATTACCTTAGGTGGGGCTGGCTGCCCTGTCCGTCTTTGCGCTTCCTTGAGCATTTCTGTTTTGTTTTCAGTATCTTTCTGAGCACAGTGAGGAACAGGCCAAGGCTGTGCCAGTTTTGAACTCAGCTTCATCCTTTTTAGCTCTGATTCCTGGCAAATGTTGAGCTTCCCTGTGTTTGAGTTTTTCTGGATGTGAGGCAGGGACAGCACCAAGACCTGCCTCTTCTATTCGTTCTGAAGAGCAGATTGGTAAAGTCAGCAACAGCAGCTGGGTAGTGGTGGCACACTGCTTTAATGCAGCACTCAAGAGGCAGAGGCAAGGGACCTCTGTGAGTTCGAGGTCAGCCTGGTCTACAAAGTGGGTTCAAGGACAGCCAGGGATGCCCAGAGAAACCCTGTCTCCAAAAGCCAAAAAACAAACAACCCTCCAAAACCCTCAGTAGAAGCTTGACCCTGAGTAGGCTTTCTGCCCTAGTTCCACCCTCTGCGCCTGTTCCTGGCACAGCTGTTATGGTTTCAGTGGCGCAGCATTGGGATGACCAGCTCACCATCATGTCATTACGGGAACTATGGCTCTAAAGCGTCTGCTGCCATGTGCAGAAGCCGTGTCCTGTTCTCTTTCTCTTTCTTCTGCAAACGGTGTGTATGGGCTTGTGTTTACAGAGCTGTTCGTTCCAGTAGAGAGGGCTGAAGAGGGTTTAGAGTTGCATCCTGTCAGCCTGGCCCCTCAGCCTTAGGCCTGACCTGTGTTGTAACACCTGACATTTGAGCCTTTCACTGCCCATTTCTGGAAGGATGGTGAGCAGTGGTCATCGGCAGGGGTACTGTCGTTATCTCCTGTGGTCAGGAGTGGTTATAGAAAAGAGTTTGGATCCTGCACATCCTGGCCAGGTGTGCAGAAGCTCCGGGGCTCCCAGGTCACACAGGTTTACCCTGCTGTGGGCATTTTGAGCCAGGAGACCTGGTGGCTCTCATCTTGGATTAGCTGTTCTTCCAAATGCTGCCTTACTGAAGATGGTTTATGCTCTTCGAGACTGTCAAGCGCCTAAATTTAACAAGTGTGATTTTCCTGTGCTCCAGCTGCAAGCAGAGGCCCCAAGGCTGGCAGAATACCAAGCGTACATCGATTTTGAGATGAAAATTGGGGATCCTGCGCGTATTCAGTTGATCTTTGAGCGTGCCCTGGTGGAGAACTGCCTGGTTCCAGACTTATGGATCCGCTACAGTCAGTACCTAGTAAGATAACTGCTCCAGTTCTGTTTCCTCCAGGGTAGACCTTCTCAGATGGTGACGGCAGGAGCGACAGGAGCTAGTTGCATGGTGCCCTCCATGCTTTTCTCCTTCCATCCCCACTTTCTCCTTTTTGTCATTTGCATGGGAATTTGTTGCATTTCATGCTCTTCACACTTCTTGCCAGCTCTAGAGAGAGGTTGCTTGTGGTCTTCGTATTGGGACTGTTAACAGCTTAGTGTCCATGCTTCTTTTTCACTATGGAAAATTTTGAAATATGAAAGAGATGGATAAAGTGAAGCCTTCCGTACCCAAGACACTGCTGGCCTTCAGCAGCATTCAGAAGCCTGTATGGTCCGCTTCCTGGCTGGCTTTATTCCTTGCTGTCCCCATTGCTGTTCTTCACAGCTGACTTAGCATGTACACAAAAGGTCCTTCTGTGTGGAAGGACCCAGGTGAAGCTCATGCTCAGGGATGTGTCTCTGGGCCATCTCTGACTACCAGCTCCCTGCCCTGCCCATCTTGCATTCCCCTCGTGAAGTCTTGAAGAAGCTAGGCCACAGCATTCTTTATTTATGTCTTTGTCTTCATTTCTTTTGAGATGGGTCCTAAGACGTAGCACAAGCTGGCCTCAAATGTGTAACTCTCCTGCCTCAGCTTCCTGAGTGCTGAGATGACAGGTGCACATCTTGTACACACCCAGCTTCACAAGAGACACTTTACATACATTTCTTTATCAGTTGACTGTGCTGGGAGTGTCTCACTGATGATCTTTAGTTACTTTTCTTGCCCATGACCAAAAACCTGGCGAGAAGCAAATAAAGGGAAGAGGCTTGAGGGCGCACAGCCCTTGGTGTTGGGGAGGGGAGGGGTGATGGTGTGGTCCTGTCACAGGCAGTCTTCTCATTGCCTGGTTTCAGGGATCAGAGGGTAGAAATGCAGGGTCAGGGTGGGATTGAGCTATGGTCCTCAAGGCTCTCATTCTCTGACCTCAGCTAGGGCCTCCCTCCTAAAGTTTCAGAATCTCCCAAAAGAGTGCCAGGAGCAGGTACCGAGTATTGGAACACAGGAGCTTGTGGGGGAGGGTTTACATTCAAACTCTTAACGCTGAGGAAGTCTTAGTCTGTCCTCTCACTCTGGAATTCTTTGTCACAGGATCGACAGCTGAAAGTAAAGGATTTGGTTTTATCTGTACACAGCCGTGCTGTGAGGAACTGCCCGTGGACAGTTGCCCTGTGGAGTCGGTACCTTTTGGCCATGGAGAGACATGGAGTGGACCATCAAATGATTTCCGGTGTGAATGTTTGTGTGGAAGGAAATCTTAAGTTATTTCTTTTAGAGTGTTCTTCTTGTGCAGCTCACTAGAGCCCAGGCTTGCTGGGGTGACAGGCATGAACCACTTGAAGCCTTTGTCCCAGTTGAGGACAGAGCTGTGGCACAATCTCCTGCCAGCGTTCCAAGGCCTGCCTTGTAGTAGCAGAGGCTCTTGCAACTTGTGAACTGTGGCTGTTTGTTTTCTTAACGCTTTTAGCTTCTGATACTCAGTTTCTTCGAAGTCATGACCTGTCTTCCTTGCCTGGCCCAGACTCTCACTCATTGTGGAAAAGTCCACTCTAGAGCACAGTGTTTGGGGGACCACAGTGCCCCCTTTAAACACTTGGGTCTTTCCTTTTCCTTCCTTTGTGTGGTACTGGGGATAGAATTCTGCAGCCTTATACATTTGTAATACATAATTTGTAGGTGCATGGAGTACACGTTTAATGAGTTTGGGCGGCTTTATTTCCTCTTGAATTGTTGGTAAATGTTGTATCTTTCTGCCTTGCAGCGACCTTCGAGAGTGCTCTGAGTGCTGGCTTTATCCAGGCCACTGACTATGTGGAAATCTGGCAGGTGTACCTAGACTACCTGAGGAGAAGGGTTGACTTCAGACAAGGTACAGTGTGGCCTCCTCAGAATTAGACTGTCATCGCATCCCCCAACGTGCTTGTGTGCAGGACATGCGTTGTTTCTCAGGAGCCATCCACTGGTTTTTGAGACAGGGTCTGATTGGTTGATTCTGAGGTTAAGCTTGGCTGGCTCTGCAGTGAGCAGCAGGGATTCACTTGTTCCCAGCTCCTCAGCAGTAGGCATGGTACTCAGCTGGCTTAGTACTTGGGCCCTCATGCTGGCATGCAAATACTTTATGATTGTGCTGTTTTCCCCCAGCCACCCCCCAACTGCTGTACTCTCTCTACACATTGTGATTGGAAAAGGTTGGTGAGTGACCCACCATTAATAACACGCTTTTCCAGAAATGTTGGTAGTTTCCGACTTAAGTCACACTGTGGAGTGAAAAGAGCGGTGGTCCTGTGCGTGCCGTTTGTGCAGCTGCTTAGCCTCTTATTTTCTGTGTCTGACCTTTTACAGCTTTTTTTTTTTTTTTTTCTGTTGCTGTGGTAAATATTCTGACAAAAGCAATCTAGGGGAGAAGGGTTTAAACTCTCAGACACAGTCCAGCACATTGGGGAATTGGTGTCACAAAGCTTAGAGCAGCTGTCACAGGACATTCATGGTGAGAGGACTTCTGTGCCCTGTCCATCACACAGCCCAGGATCCAGTCAGAGCATGGCAGTGCCACAGTGGACAGGCCTTCCCACCTCAACTAATGTATTTAGAACATCTGTAAAATATCTTTAATTCATCTGTCGTCCCAGAGGCTTACTTAAGTCTCTGCCTGCTAACCTAGGCCTGGTCCTGGAAGCTTCTCACCTCCATACAATCTAATCTAGGCCTAGAATGTTTTCAGCCTCTGAGACTTAAGCTCACATTTTTTATTTTTTCTGAACTCTGGCTGACTGATTCAACTCAGCTGTTCAGTCTCAAACTCCTCTCCAAGCTGACTGATTCAAATTGGCTTCTCTCTTGGTTTCTGACTGAATTCCTCTACTTGGCCTCTAACTGTAGCAATCTGTTCTAATCTTCTGGCTCCTTCTCATTCTCTGGCTCCTTCTGTCTTCACCTGTGTGTAGCTTGTTTTCTCTTCAACCTGTCTCTGTACAACTGTTGCAGTAACACTGCCCTCCCCTTCTCTTTCTCTGTGCTGCTCTCCTAAGGCCTCTTTTTTCTGTTTCTTCTGGTGAGAGTTGGGTGTATCTTATCATGGCTCATTCTGTCAAATCTTTCTCTGATTTATCACTTTGTCTGCCTCTCAGTTAGATACCACTTTCAAACATGGATGCTTCCTTCTACAAACTGACCTTACCTTTGGGATTAAAAGTGTGTGCTAAGAGTGTGTTTGTATCTGCTAGAGTAGCACATTGCTGGATTAAAATCCCTCTATAGTCATCTCTCACAGGCATGCACAGGGCCATCTCCCTGCTGATTCTAGATTCTGGGAAGCTGAAATTGACCATCACAAACCCTAAATCTTTTTCTAATAAGACTGTCATGTTCTTTTACATCTTTGTCCACAGGATCCCTGCCCTACACTAAAGGTCAGCTAGAAATACCCTATGTGGCATGCTGCTTCATACAGCCTCTGTGCCACCTCCCTGTCCCTGCTGGCCAGTGCCTGTGTTTCTCACTGCTGCTGTACCTCCGTTGTTTATCACAGAGGTGACATGTGACTGAGGTTCCTGGGTCCGTAGTGGGCCTCCATGGTTCCATGAGATTTAAAAGTGGTAGCTGCGGTGGCTTCATGGACTCCCTCTCACCTCTTCCAACAGACTCTAGCAAGGAGCTGGAAGAGCTGCGGTCTATGTTCACTCGTGCTCTGGAGTATCTGCAGCAGGAGGTTGAGGAGCGTAAGTGTCCCAGCCTGCTGTCTGCCCATTTGCCTTGCCTGTTCTTGCTTGCCAAACCTCTTCTCTCCAGCCGGGAGTGTTTGCTTTACAGTCATCCTAATTGTTCCCATTCCATTTCGGAAGGTTTCAGCGAGAGTGGAGATCCAAGTTGCATGATCATGCAGAGCTGGGCTCGGGTCGAGGTGAGCATCTCCACACACCTGTCTTGCATGTCCTCCTTTGAAGGGCAGGGCTTTGTTCTGCATTCATGACAATTGGGGCAGAATCTGAGGGTGTGGTCTAGGTGCCAAGGGATTTGTTAACCTGGTGTGCCGTGCTTGGTTTGTTTTCCTGGTGAAGATTCCCAGCCAGGAGCTACAGAGCAGCAGGTGCCTGGACGCTGGCTCTTGACCCACTCACCTCCTCAGCCTTCCCTCACAGTGGCTTGAGAGTGTGTTGAGTGTGTGCCTTTCGCCAGTGCTCTGCAGACGCTGGGAATGGGCTGCTGTTTGAACTCTTGCTGGCTGGTTCAACTCAGCAGTGTTCTGGGCAAGCTCTGCTCGAGATACAACTCCATATGTCAACCTTTTAAGGCTTGCTACTGCAGAGAAGCAGTCAGGCCTTAGGCCATTAGCACCGGAGGGAGGCCTGGGGCCTTCCGGGACTCGTGTGGCACAGTCATGGGAAGGAGGGGGTGTTTTAGGCATGCTTGTGTGGTTATTGCTATAAGAGGGTCCAGGCTCTATCCTAGCTGATTTTGAATGTATTTTAGGCTCGCCTTTGCAATAACATGCAGAAAGCTCGAGAGCTCTGGGACAGTATCATGACCAGGGGGAATGCCAAGTATGCCAACATGTGGCTGGAGTATTACAACCTGGAAAGGTGAGCGGTCCAGTTTGGGTGGCGTCTGTACTGGTCTTGGCTGAGCTGACTTGAGCCTGTTCCTTAGAGTGGATACCTTCCTTTCACTTTTCTTAGCAGGGCCTGTGCTTGGCAGGTCTCTAGACTAAGTTGTTTGCATATTTATTTATTTATTTATTTGCTGGGGTCACTGTCTGATTCTACCATATTTTGTATAGGAAAGCAGTAAAAGGAAAAGTATCAGATTAGCTAGGAGCCGCTGACTAGACTCAGGGTTTAGGTTGACCTCCTTAATGGTGTGGTTGTAATGTGTTTGAAATGACCCTTCTAGATTATTGCATTCAATAAATCTACAACCAGTGGGAAGACCTCAACCTTCCTCCCTTCCTCCCTCTCTCCCTCTCTTCCTTTCTCCCTCCCTCCTTTCCTTCCTCCCCTCTTCTCCTCTTCTTCCCTTCTTTCCTTCCAAAATTGAGACTCTATAGCCCAGGCTAGTTCATGGTGATTCACCTGCTCAGCCTTCCAAGTGATACCAAGATGACATGTATGAGCTACACTGCAGCCATCTTGACCAGCTGTTTGATTCGGTGCATATTGAAAATCCACAGCATTTCTAATACTTTTTTCTTTTTAAAATAGTAAGTGTTTCTATTTAAAAAAAAAAAATGTGTGCCCAAATTAAAAGTTAAAATGCATATAAAAGTGTGTGGTAGAGAGTGAGTTTCTCATGGCCCTGCCACCACTACAGCTTCTTAGGCTTTCCCAGTGACTCTCACACTTCAGTGTTCATGTGCTGTTGCCAACTTTACTGTATCTGGAAATGAAAATTACTTAAAAGGCGACAATTGATGCATTTAACATAAAACTCCAGCTAATTTTGTGACATAATCTGGAATTAAAAAAAAAAAAAAAAAAAACCAACAGAAAAAAAAAAACAGACAAAACACAAAACAATCCCCCCCCCCCCCCCCCCCTCCAGGCTGGCCTCAAACCCATAGAGATCTGTCTGCCTCTTTCCCCTGGCTACTGGGATTAAAGGTGTGCATCATCACAACATGCTTAAAACCTTTTTAAAACTTTTATTTTCTGTGGGTGGGTGTTTGTGTGAATGTTCATCTGTGTGTCACATGTGTGCCTGGTGCCCACAGACTCCCTGGAGCTGGAGTCACAGATGGTTGTGAGCTGCCATCTGGGTGCTGGGACTCTTACCCGGGTCCTCTGGAAGAGCAGCTGGTGCTCCTACCCTCGGAGCCATCTCTCCACGACTGAGTCTGATGTTTTGGCAAATGTATTTATTATAGTAAGACAATTAACTGACTGGGATCTCACGCCTGTCTCTGATCCCCTCTGCTGGTCTATGGTTTTTTATTACAGGGTGTAAAGAGTTTGTGGCCTTGAAGACAGATGGGTAGAAGAGGGGTGGGGCTCACAGCCTGGTAGATCAAGCTGCTGTTCCTTGATGACAGCAAACCTCAATAGGGCCATATGGAATGCACTGCCTGGGGCTGTGTCAGCGAGCTTCTGGGTTTACAGTGCTAGTATCTGTCTCTGTGTCTTGACTATAGACCTCTGGCCTGATGCTGCAATTTTGTGGTGTCTACTTTTTTCCAGTAAACACTATTCTTCCATGTGCGCTGCTGTGCACTTGTGTCCCACACAGCACTGAGAGGCTCCATTGCTTTTTCTACCATCCAGGCAGGCACCAGCACTGTGGCAAAGCCTCACAACATCGTGACTATGTCACAAAATTAGCTGAGGTTTGGAAAATACAGAAAGTATAGTAATTTCTTGGGCATGTGATCATAGCCAAAGAACCGCTGCTCTAAAGGTTTTGAGTTCGCTAATACATACATACATAGGCGTGAGTGTGAGTAGCATACAGTACCATGTGAGCATAAAGCCTGATTCAGACCCCTCTGGACGACTGTATGGACTTCTCCGGGAGCTTAGTCAGGGTGCAGTCAGTTGATGATGGTACCTCCCACGTGCACAGAAGGCCCAGCTCCAGCTGCTGCCGAGCTGCACTTTCACGGGCACCCGTGGTGAAGAGAACACATGTGTGGAAGGGTCTTCCCTTGTAACTGCAGAGACTTGTGGCAAGAGAGAACGCCCCATTGCTTCTCAAGCTGCTGTCTCCTCTGCAGTTAGACCCTTCTGCCTCTGCAGGCAGCCTGTTCCCGTTCCACACTGTGGCCTGATGACAGCTATTTGTTCTCTGCTCTAGGGCACATGGTGACACACAGCACTGTCGGAAGGCTCTGCACCGAGCTGTCCAGTGCACAAGTGACTATCCCGAGCATGTCTGTGAAGTGTTGCTCACCATGGAGAGGACAGAAGGTGGGACCCTCGCCTCTGCTTTTGGCTTGTAGTATGGTCCTTTGGCTAGGCATCTCCAGGGGAAGCATTTGGTCTGTAAGGACAGATTGCCGAGGGAGTGAGCCCTCTTGCAGCAGTCTGCAGTCACAGGAAGGGTGCAGTGACAGGGCCCTTCCATGTTCTCAGGCCTCCTTAGTCAGTCCCACTACCTGTTCCCCCACTACAGCCACCTGCCCTGGTGGGAGGAGCCTGCATGACAGCTGCTGCTCCTGCAGTGTCTGCGCCACACCACAAAGGCACTGGCAGAGGAGAGGTGGGTCTTTGGGAAGTAGTGTGTATTTCTGTCTCCTGGACAACTACCTGAATTAGGGTATGAGCCCGAGACCTGAGCTTAGACCCTGAACAGAGATGCTGGCACACTGGAGCAGCTCCCTTGGCTCTTGAGTTTCATGTGCACTTTGCATATTTTTATAATCTTTACCATTGAGAGCCTGCAAAGTCAGATTTCTGTTTTTAAGTCTCTCTTTGGAAGGAGAAAGGGCACATAGCAACCCAGAAGGGTATTGGAGGTACAGACAGGCAGCTTGGTGACATGCAGTGTCTTTGAGCAAGAGCGACTGCAGGTCTTGTGCAGGGAGCTGTCTGCTCCAGAGCACTGGGATCAGGGCATGCTGCCACAGCCTAGAGCATCAAAGCTCTGCTTTTCTTTCTCTCCAGGAACCTTGGAGGATTGGGATGTGGCCATTCAGAAAACAGAAACTCGCTTGGCTCGTGTGAATGAGCAAAGAATGAAGGTGACAGTGATGCATCCCGAGGGTTTAAAACTATCTGTCTGCCCCCTCTGTTTGCTCTGGGTGTTTTGTCTGTATGAATGTCTGTGCACCATGTGTGGGTAGTGCCCACAGTGGCCTGCTGAGGACATCAGGTCACCTGGGACTGGAGTGTCACAATGTGAGTTGCCATGTGGGTGCTGGGAATTGAACCTGGATCCTTTGGAAGAGCAACTGGTCTTAACCACTGAACCATCTCTCCAGTCCCTTCATAAGATACTAATTAAAAAGCATTTGGGTTAGTATTTAAACTTGCCCTTTGCCATCTTAAAGATTTACTTGAAACTTTGAACTCAACAGTAAGACTTGCCCACACTAGGTCAAGTAGAAGAACCTCAGAGGGGCTCACAGAGCCTCTTTCTAGGAAACTGCCAACAGTTGATGGCTGCTGGGGAGGGTGCAGCTTCCACTGGAGGGACTCTGAACACACCGCTAGTCTCAGTGATTTAACAGAAAGAAAGCATGACTGAAACTGAGGGCGGTGTGGTGGCTGCGATTCGAGAAGAGTCGGAGGGGGCTGGGGGATTTGATCAACATGTTTATGTGGGTGAGATTCTTGAAGAATAGAGTCTTAAAGGAGCCGGCCCAGCTCTGAGGGCAGCAGGAGCATCTCCAGCTTGCGGCTGCTAGGGGTTTTCAGGTCAGCTGAGGCGGGGACACCCACACTAAATGCGAGTGGCATGTGTCATGGGCTGGGTTCGGAAATGAAAGGAAGAGAATGGCCTGGCACAGCACTGAGGCCTTCCTTCTAGGCTGTGGACGGCATCAGCTGCTTCAAGTTCCTGCCTCATCCCCCACCTTTCCACCACGACAACCTGTAAGCAGCCTGAGGTCCTGAGCTCAGATAGTCTTGTCAGGGCATTGTGTCCCAGCAGCAGAGGTGAACAGAACAGGGACCTGGCTTTAGGACTGCCTTGGTGTGTAATGACCAAGGATATTGAAAGTGTATGGGCCTTCTCTATGCCGTATTCGTATGAACTTGGATTGCATGAGCATTCCCACCCCATCTCCTCCAGTGTTCTGTCTCCTCACAAGCCAGCCAGCAAGCATAACAGGCATCGGGGGATGTCCTGCCCTTTTTTAACTAGGCTGCAGAGAAGGAAGCAGCTCTGGTACAGCAGGAAGAAGAAAGGGCCGAGCAGCGGAAGAAGGTGCGTGCTGAGAAGAAAGCCCTGAAAAAGAAGAAAAAGACCCGAGGTGCAGATAAACGCAAGGCAGATGAGGAGGATGAGAAAGAATGGGACGAAGAGGCGGAAGGTAACAGCTCAGGCGAGGGCTGCATGTGGGTACACAGAGCATCTCCCAACTGTCCAGAGTGGCCTTGACGCCTCAGGTGAGCTCTTGTGAGCATAGCCAGGCCTCACCCTCCAGTCCTCAGCACTGCTCATCGTGTGCCATGTCTCTCAGTGGTGACACTTTGCTAAAGACCCAGGTGAAAGTTGACGGAGCTACCTGTGTCGCTTCTTCTTGAGGCAGTGTGTAGGCTGTCCAGGCCCAGCCCATGTCCACTGACAGGATGCAGGAAAAGGGCCTGGCTAGGATTGAAAGTGCTTGTGGGGCTGTCACCTGCAGGTGTTCAGGTTCTGTTCTTCCCGGTGACTGGCCAGTGGGGTTTATGTTCCTGTTTCTAGTAGTACCTTTGTTGGAGTGTACTTAGACCACGTGTTGTGGGGCGTGGTGGCTGTCCATCCCTCCTGTGTACACGGTACAGTTTGTTTGTGGGGACATGCAGAAGGAAGGCCTAACCCATTAGCTACCTGTGCTTCTCTTTTGAATGCCTACAGAGCAGCCCTCCAAACGCAGAAAGCTGGAGAACAGTTTGGCTTCTGGAGTGTCTTCGGCTGTGGAGGAAGAAACAGAGCTTTCTGGGGAATGTGTAACGATAGACGTTGGTCCTCCTTCCAAGCAGAAAGAGAAGGCAGCGTCCCTCAAGAGGGACATGCCCAAGGTGGCTCACGACAGCAGTAAGGACAGTGTCACCGTCTTCGTCAGCAACCTGCCCTACAGCATAGAAGAGCCTGAGGCGAAGCTCAGACCACTCTTCGAGGCCTGTGGGGAGGTGGTCCAGATCAGGCCAATCTTCAGCAATCGTGGGGACTTCCGGGGCTACTGCTACGTGGAGTTCAAAGAGGAGAAGTCAGCCCAGCAGGCCCTGCAGCTGGACAGGAAGACTGTGGAAGGAAGGCCAATGTTCGTGTCACCCTGTGTGGATAAGAGCAAAAACCCTGATTTTAAGGTATGTTTGTCGAAAAAGGATGTGTTTAAGGTGGGCTGCCAGATAGGCTCAGCACCTGTCGCCCACGGGAATTGTGTGCTGGCGACAGCCAGGTCTGTGAGGAAGGAGCCCAGGCTGAGCTTCCTCTTTTTTTTTTTTTCTTTTCTTTTCTTTTTTTTTTTTTTTAAGACAGGGTTTCTCTGTGTGGCTTTGGCTGTCCTGCACTCACTTTGTAGACCAGGCTGGCCTTGAACTTACAGAGATCTGCCTGCCTCTGCCTCTGCCTTCCTGAGTGCTGGGATTATAGGCATATGCCAACGCATCCAGTGAGCCTCCTCTTTTTGATTGGTGATGGCTGAGGTTAGCATTAAGAAAGATGGCTGCTGTCCTCCCCACCTATGCTCAGTAACTGTTCTTATACTGTTGATCTGCCACTTAATTCTCTAAGAACAGGTGTGGCTCAGGGCTGTGTCCCCAGGACACACACTTGTGCACTCCTGGGCACATATGCTGGGGTGTGCCTGCCTCAACCATGGGCTTTGCCTTTCTCGAAGGTGTTCAGATACAGCACCACCCTGGAGAAACACAAACTCTTCATCTCGGGCCTGCCCTTCTCCTGCACCAAAGAGGAACTTGAAGACATCTGTAAGGCTCATGGCACTGTGAAGGACCTCAGGCTGGTGACCAATAGGGCTGGCAAACCAAAGGTCAGTAGGTATGGGCAGACTTGGCTCTGCTCTTGAGGAGTGGCCAGCATGGTTGTCCTGTTGTCCTCTGCCCTCTATGCCCTTAGATTCTTTTTGTGACACATTTGGATCACCTTTCAAGCCCTGACTCCACTCCCATTGGAGAGCTGGAAAGTGTAAGGGAAGAAGAGGCCAAGGACAGTGACCTGCTGGGATCCTTTTTGTGTCTCATCTGCCTCTTTTTATTCTACTTTGTTTTATTTTTTTCCTCTGCGCTTCCAGTTTCTTTCCCTGGGGTGAGCACAGTGTGTTCTCCACCAGAGAGCCTTTTCAAATTTCTGTCAGTGACAGCCACAGTTGAATGTTAGGCTAGAGTAAATCTGTAGTCAGGACAGTGGCATTCAGTGGTCCCTGCTGATGGGTGCCTGTCTCCCAAAAGAAGTTAGGTCCTTCCCATCTGACCTGACAGTGCATTGGTCTTTCAGGGCCTGGCCTATGTGGAATATGAAAACGAGTCCCAGGCATCACAAGCAGTGATGAAGATGGATGGCATGACCATCAAAGAGAATGTCATTAAGGTGGCAATCAGCAATCCCCCTCAGCGGAAAGTTCCAGAGAAGCCAGAAGGGCGGCCAGGACCAGGAGCCCCCATGGTGCCCCGGCAGATGTATGGAGCGTAAGTGTCTGCTGCTGTTTGGTGCAGATTTGTCGTGGCCAGGGCTAAGGGAGAGGGAGGCACGTCTGGAGGGATGGTGAGTTAGGTCAGAAAAGCAGGAATGTGGTCCTTGTTTCACTGGCCAAGATGTGCATAGCAAGGCTTTAGAGGGACTTGGCCCAAGTGGCATGTGGTGGAGTTTGCACTTTTTTTTCTTGGTGGAACTGGGGATGAAACCAGGCCTTATGAGTGCTAGGGAAGTGTTAGGTTTCTAGTGCTGGGAAGAAAGGGTTCCCATGCTTACCTCTTAAGGCTAGTCCAGCATCAGAGGAAGCCAAGAGAGGAAGCTGGGGCAGGAACTGAAGCAGAGGCTGTGGAAGGACACTGCTTACCGGCTTGCTCTCCATGCCTCACTCAGCTGCTTTCTTGTAATACTTTTTTTTTGTTGTTGTTGTTATTTACATTTATTTTATGTGTTATGAGTATCTTGCCTGCATGTGTGTCTGTGTACCACATGTGTGCAGTACCCACAGAGGCCAAAAGAGAACGTCAGTTGGGTGCTGGGAACTGAGCCTGGGTCATCTCAAGAGCAGCCAGTGCCCTTAACTCCTGAGCAGTCCCTCCAGCCCCTCAGCTGCCTGCTTTCTTTCTTTCTTTCTTTTTTTTTTTTAATGTAAAGAAGGTGGCTTGTTCAAGTGCTTTCTACTTCCCAGCTGGAATCTAGGGCGAAGGGTGCCTTGTGGTTCCTGTTCTTTCTGTTCTTGGTTTGAGGTTAGACCTCAGCCTTGTGCATGCTGGCCCAGCCACATCTGTTTTGGTCTGATGGTCCCATTGCCTCACAAGTCCAGTTGGGGCCATGAATCTGTGCTTCCAACGGGCCGTTGTGTTTGTTCTTCTAGGCGCGGGAAGGGAAGGACCCAGCTCTCTCTTCTTCCTCGAGCTCTGCAGCGCCAGAGTGCTGCTCCTCAGGCTGAGAACGGCCCCGCTGGGCCGGCAGTCACCACCTCCGTGGCCACCGAGGTTCCTAAGATGTCCAATGCCGATTTTGCGAAGTTGCTTCTGAGAAAGTGAGCAGGACTCTGCAAGATGGGAAATGCCTTACTTACTCCTTCATGCTGGCCAGGCAGCCACTGTGGGCCCTGGAGGCAGAAGGGCTGAACACTTGCCTGGGCTCCCACAGATTCTCCTCTGCTATAGATGGGAAGGGAAAGCCTACACTGAGCATGGCGGTGAGGAGTGTTCCCTCACATTGAGGGCGGAGGCCAGTTGCTCTGCAGGCTGTCCCGAGGTACTTTAGTGTCCTAACAAGGAGGGACCTGGTTTTGGGCCCACTTGTCCTGATACTTCCACCACCTCTGGCCCTTTTTCTACGAACCCCTGCCCCAGCCCTACACAGCACGCGTGCCCATCACTCTTGAAGTCTAAAGGATGAAATGGAAGATGCCCATCACTCATCAGAGTGGCCAGTGGAGTGAAGTGCAGGTGGGGTATCACAGAGATCACATCTGATGGGTTTTGTCCAAAGAGGCTGTGAGTTTTTTATTATGTGTTTGTAATTGACACCTTGACTATTTTATGTTTCCTAAAAGCAGAATGTCTGTGACATTTGTTCACATAGGAATTGTGTGTGCCACCTGCTGTGGACCATGTTCTTTCCCTGATGGCTGGAGACCTGTGTCCTCTGCAAACACTTGTGTCTAAATGCCATGTCTAGTGCAAAGTTGAGTTCCCCTGTTTAGCTTTATTAAACTGCAGTTCTCTTAGAGAGAAGCCTTGCGAAGTGTTGCTGGGTGTGTGCTCATTACGGTGTGTGTGTGCGTCCTGTATGTCACCTGCTTTCCTCAGTAGTGGGTGTTAACAGCTGAGCAAGCAGTCCCGTCACTCTGATTCTACGCTCAGTGATGCAGTGACATGAAGCCTTGAGTTTCTGGTGGCCTGACGCTGCTGGGAGTTTTACCTCTCACCTTGTGACGGGTAATTCCTCCCTTGAAAGCCCTTCAGCAGGGTCAGGGAGAAACTACCCATGATGTAAGAGCACTTCGGAGGACAACATGAAGGAGCCCTGCATATGTGCTGGATGTCGCTCTTGTATGTGTGTGTGTGTCCATTTGTCAGGTAACAGAACCGAGGTCTCATGCATGCTGGGCAAGTTCTCTGCACTTAAAACTTGGAAGAGAGATTTATTTTTGTTTTTATTTATTTGTATGCATATGGTTTGAGTATATGTATATGCTATGTGTGCAGAATCCAGAAGAGGGCATTGATGGGTCCCAGCAGCTGCTGGGAACTGAACCTCGGTCCTCTGCAAGACCAGCAGGCGCTCTTTAACCACTGAGCATCTCTCCAGCGCAGCCTACATTAAAAGTGTTGTTAAAGAATTCACACGTGTGTGACTGTGGGTGTGTACAGCTCTGGCGTGTTTGTGGACAAGTCTGAGGACAGCTTTCAGGAGTTGGCTCTCTCACTTCCACCGTGGGGTCCTAGGATGGCTCAGGCTGCCTGTTGTAAGGCTGTCACGCGTTCCACCATCTGCTGCCCAGCCCTAAGATGCTTTGTTGTTGTTGTTGTTTTTTTTTTTTTTTAACTTAACATTTAAAAAAAAACCCTTAAAATAAGATTTGTGAGTTTTGCCTGCATGTGTGTATGAGTGCCATGTACATGCCTGGTGTTTAGAAGAGGCGCATGCATGGAGTTTAGAAGAGAGATCCCATGGAACTGGAGGTAGAGGTGACTATGAGCCGCCATGTGGGTAAGTTCTGGGAACAGAACCCAGGGCCCCTGCCAGAGCAACAAGTGCTCTCAGCCACTGCGCTGTCTCTCCAGCCCCTTAAGAGGAGCCACTGCTGTGTGCATCCTGGAGCTCTTGGCATCGAGCTCCTGGCCCTCCTCTCTTGTCTCAGCTCTGTCCACCTTTCATCAGTCACCCTGCAGCAGTGACGGGCAGTGCAGACTACAGTACATGTACTGCCCTTAGGACCTAGCCCAAGTTCAGCTCCCGTCTGTACCATTAGTTTCCCCTTCCTATAAATGTTGTTTTTAAAATGCAGGCTCTCCTCCATCTGTGACATAACACACAAAGACCTTTTTCTAGGCTGTACCTTTCAGTTAGACACCAGCTGTGGCTAGCGGAGCTGCTCTGTGGTGTGGGCTCCTCCTGGGCCCATCTCTGGGGGGGTCCTATGAGGCAGCTGAGAGGAAGTGTGCTCCACTGGCCTGTGAGCTAATCCCATTGGGTTCACGTGGCTTTTGATAGTGTCACAGAAACCGCCTTATTGTGGCTAGTACCCAGGTGTGGCTTCATGCTCTCCACAGGGTTCATGGCACAGCTGAGCCTTTCCACACAGCAGCAGGGCCCGCTGGGTAAACACTTAGTACATTCACTCAGGGCAGGCACGCTGATGAAGCAGGTGTCCAGGAAGCCTAGAAGCCTGACAAGCTGACACTCAGTGGAAGGAGTGCTCTACTCCTGCAAGCTGGCCTGACGTCTGCATGGAGGCTACACACAGTATGTACATGTAAAGAAAACAGCCCGTGAACCAGGTGGGCAGATTCTGGGTTGCTGTGACTCTGGGATCTGTTCTCAGAACAGGAAGCACAGTGGCAGCTCAGAAGTCCCCGGATAAGACAACACGATCATTGCTTATGTAATAAAATACTTTATTAGAACCAGTAACTCGTTAAGGTAGTATCTTTCACGTGTAGCTAAAGTGCAGGTTCCCCCTACAGGACAGAACAGGCATCCTGTAAGGTGCAGTGTGCAGAGGGGAGGCGCTTGGGGCTGCGGCGGTGTGCGGTGTGACATGTCGCTGCAGGCCTGCAGGGCTGTCGTGTGGTGCTGCATGCACCCATCTTTTCAGTTTTTCTCTGCCCCTCAGAACACTACCCCTGAGTAGGTTCTCAACACTGGACACAGCAGTCTGCAGCACCTAGCAGAAAATTTGACACCTGGCCTCAAAAATCAAACAAAGGCAATGTGGTGTGTGACGTGCAAATGCTGTCTCAGAACAAAACCCAGCCATTAGGGCACTTAAGTAGCAGCAGTCAAATTGGCACTTGGCCATGTATGATTGAACAAAGTTTATTTTTTTCTAAGATGACAATTTGAAATGCGCCTATCAGGCATGACACCATCACTTTACAACCTACCTAAAGGGAATGCTGGACCCTGTAATGGCTTCATAGTGAATTAGAACCACAGGACAAAGGGGCGAGGCTGGGCTCTGGTCACAGGTGTTTGCTCCCTTTGAACTATTTTATCAGAACTGCTCATTTGGGGTTGATGTGGTGTCTTAGATACATTGTTTTGTAATGTTAGGGAAGGTGCCCGGGGCGTGGTGCGTGGTGGGTAGCGTTGTACCACTGGGTCTTGCCTCCAGGCCCTCAAATATGTTCTTTAGGGTCTACGTGCTGGAGACTTGTGGGAGGTGAAGGCAGACCTGTTTCATGGCTTGATGGATGGAGTACCTTGGCAAGCTTGGAGGACTTGTAGCCTAAAACCCCTGGACTCGGTTGATGCAAGTGAAGCACAGGAGAAAGCTAAGGAAAAGCCACGCTGGCTGTCCTCCTCAGAACAGTCTGGATAGGGAAATAGTATCCCCTGGCACTCAGGTTAGCAAGTTAGTGGCTCAGAGGGGCTTTGGGAATATGCAGTCTCCCGCTGGAGATGGCAACGTTTGCTTCCTGTCTCCAAGGGCTGCTCTGCCAGTAGAAGCTGCCACTACAGCCTCCTAGGAGTGAAAGCCTATCTCATGGAAGGGCGAGTTCTGCCTGGGATTGTAGTCTTCCCCTGAGGTCACTGGACCCCAAAGTATGAGTGATCCCTGTGGCCCTGGGCTTTGCCCCACAGATCTGGCCCCCTTGCTTCCGCCCTTAGTGCAAATTCTGTCCAGTCACCCAGGCCCAGGGCTTTAAAGGAACATTGCTGTCCTACTGGGTGCTGGGATCACCACAGGCAATGTGGCCATGGCGCCATTCGGCACTGCTAGCTTGCTCACTCACAAAAAAAAAATAAATAAATAACTTGGCTGAACTATAAATTATCCTAAAGATAGGCCAAATAATTTAGTTTTCTTTCTTAACTAAAAAACACCTGGAGGTAAAGAATATCTAAAGGTCTCCTTTTGCTTCTGTGGAGAACTGTTTCTAGAAAAGTGCTCTCTGGATGCTGTCGCCCTGGCTTTTCTTCACCAAGGGAAGGCCAGTGGTTAGGGCCTCACAGGAAGTGTCTCCTTGAACCCAGAATGGTTAGGCTGGGCTTCCGGAAGTGCCACGGAGTACTCAGTGGTGGCGAGGAGCAGTGTGTCCAGAGTGACCTCTGTACACTTGGCAATGAATCGGATGAAAGGCCGCACGTCACCCTCATTGGCAACTTCCAATACGTGGTAGTACTCAGACCTCTGCTCCTTGCGGATGGTGATGGGCGGGTACCCCGCCTGCATCAGGATCAGGTTCATCAGCAGGCGGGAGGTCCTCCCGTTGCCATCTATGAAAGGGTGGATGTACACAAGTTTGTAATGGGCTAGGGCTGCGAACTCAACCGGGTGCAGATTCATGGCGTCCTCCGAGTTGAGCCACTGCGTGAACTCCTGCATCTGCTTCTCCACGTCCCGGGGGTGGGGCGGGATGTGGTGTCCCACCAGGACCTGGGTCCTCCGGAACCTGCCGGCCTCCACCGGGTCCACGTACCCGAGCACCCTCCTGTGGATCTCCAGCATGTCGTCGATGGTGACGGAGCCGATGCGGGAGACCAGCGTGGTGTTGATGTACTTCATGGCGGCATGCATGCCAATCACCTCGTTCTGCTCCTCCAGGCTCTTCCCTGGCACGGCATAGCGCGTCTCTAGGATGTGCCTGATCTCTGACAGGGTGAGGGTGTTGCCCTCGATGGCCACCGTGTGGTAGATGTGGTGGTAGTAAGTCTCCTCCATGACCCTGCGCAGCGCTGAGCTCCCCTTGGGGATGGACATAACCTTCTTCACTTTGCTGTCGATGATGCTGAAGTACCTTTGGTCGATCTCCTCCACGAGTGGCAGCGTCCGATCCCGGTTGACCAGGGCTTTCTTGTGGAAGGGCGAAATGGTCAGTGCCCTGGTGTACAGGTAATCCGCCTGGATGATGTCCTTGTCTTCTTCTGAGAAGATGCCGAACTCATTGAGGGCATCTACGTAGCCAGGGTCCATCTTGAGAGCGTGCAGGAAGAGCTTGTGGGCTTTCTCCCTCTTGCCTTGGCGCTTCATCTCCAGGGCTTGATTTAGTGCAGCCTTGGCTTCCAGCTTCCCTGCTGGAAGACAGCCAAAGAGGCCTGATGAGGAGGGTGGGCTACAGGTCTCCCAGGGACGCCACCACAGTCATGACAGTTTTTAAGCCCCAGGTGTGCTGTGGGCTGTAATGCTGGTCACTGTGTCCTCTGCCACTCTGTACGCTGGGAGCCACGAGCTGGGCTCCTTGCCCCCTGCCTTTTGCCTGGGCATAGACAGTTTGAGCATTTACTACCTGCATGCTCTCCCTACACTGAGGCTGCTCTGGTGTCCGCCTTCCTTGAGCCCCTCCCTTCAGGCCTAGGAGTGCCAACACCTTCCACTCAGGTAGTCCCTGGGCCCATCCCATGCCTGGACTGTTTCTGTTTTCTGGCAGTCCTGGGCACGGGCCCCAGGCCCTTCTACACCCCAGGCATGTATTCTGTGAGAGCCAGCCTGTGCTTCTAATGATTGATTCCAGTTTGTGGTAATGTCGGGTTGTCACCACTGGGGGCGTTGTGCTCTCGGCATGCAGCAGCTGTGC